GCTTGTGTGCGGCCGCGTTCTACAATTATTATAAGCAAAATCCGGAGGAGGGTATGTATCTAGTTTACGTCTCTGCTGCAGGTGAGCCGGTAAAAATGCCGGCAGAGATAGAGGGAGTAGTGGCCAAGTACCCTGATCTATTTGAGGAGCCTACAGGGGTTGTTGAGAGGGAGGTCGTCCATGCGATAGAGATTATCCCAGGATCTAGTATTCCAAAAGGTAGGATCTATCGGATGTCTCCAGGCGAGCTTGATGGGCTTTGCCGCCAACTCAAGGAACTCGTAGAGAAGGGCTGGATCCGGCCGAGTGTCTCTCCTTATGGGTCTCCAGTTCTATTCGTGCCTAAGAAGGAGGAGGGAACTCTTAGGATGTGCATTGACTATAGGGGCATCAATGCCATCACTGTAAAGAACAGAGAGCCCCTACCGCGCATCGACGATCTGCTAGATAGAGTGCAAGGGTGCCGGTACTTCAGCAAGATAGATCTGAAGTCCGGATACCATCAGATTGCCATCTGGCCCGAGGATCAACACAAAAACGCTTTTCAAACCAGGTACAGTCTGTACGAGTTTGTGGTGATGCCTTTCGGCCTTTGCAATGCTCCTGGCACCTTTCAGCACGCTATGAATCGGATATTCCATGACTTCTTGGATAAGTTTGTCATCGTGTACCTCGATGACATACTTATTTTTAGTAAGACTGTCGAGGAACATGTTGCACACTTGGACAAAGTCCTCGGTCTCCTGCGACAACACAAGTTCAAGATCAACGGTGCGAAATGCGAGTTTGGCCGCACCCGTGTCTTGTACTTGGGTCATGAGATCTCCGCGGAAGGGTTGAAGCCCGATGACGCGAAGGTGGCCAACATTCGTGATTGGCCACGTCCTCAGTCTGTGACTGAGATGAGATCTTTCTTAGGAATGACACGCTACTATAGGACTTTCGTTAAGAACTATAGCATAGTGGCCACTCCTTTGACTGATCTGACCCGCCTTGACACCCCTTGGGAGTGGACAGATAAGTGCGAGGCTGCTTTCAGACATCTGAAGCATGCATTGGCGCACTATGAAGTCTTGAAACTTCCTGATCCTGACAAGCCGTTTATAGTCACAACGGATGCCAGCCAATATGGCATTGGTGCCGTGCTTGCGCAGCAGGATGGGCCAAAGTTGAGGCCAGTAGCGTACATGTCCAAGAAAATGCCGTCTCAGAAATTGGCTAAGTCCACTTATGAGAAGAAACTCTATGCGGTGTACAAGGCTCTCACCCATTGGAGACACTACCTCCTTGGGCGGTTCTTCATCCTCCGGACTGATCATCAAACCCTGAGATGGATGAGAATACAGCCGGTACTCTCTGGCGCTCTCAAGCGTTGGATCGAAGTCATTGAGCAATGTGACTTTGATCCTCAGTATCTCAAAGGAGAGTACAACAAGGTTGCTGATGCCTTGTCGCGCAGACCGAACTTCTCAGGTGCGCTGATTACTAAGTTCGATTTGACGGACGATGTGACTTAGTCTTTGGTGGCAGCCTATCGTCAGGACCAGTTTATGTTTGAGATTATACGCAGACTTGAGGCGAAGGATAAGAAGACCTCCACCGAGTTTGAGTTGGTCAATGGCTTGCTGTTCCTAGAGAAGGCAGGGAATAAACGCTTGTGTGTTCCAAATAGCGAGTCTTTGCGTAGTTTGTTTTTAGGCGACTTTCATGATGCCACCGGCCATTTTGGGTATAAGAAGACCGCAGCCAACTTGCTGCAGCGGTTCTGGTGGCCCACGATGACGAAAGATGCACAATTGTACAAGGAAACTTGTCAAGTTTGCCAAAGAGACAAGCCCCGTACTTAGGCTCCTCTTGGGCTGCTCAAGCCCCTTCCGATTCCGGAAAGGCCGGGTGAAAGTTTGTCCATGGACTTCATGGATATGCTGGTCACCAGCAAGAGTGGGATGAGACAAATCTTTGTCATCGTGGATAGGTTTAGTAAGTTTGCTAGATTAATAGCTATGCCAGAAACAGCGAAGACCGAGTATGTGATCAGGCTATTTAAAGAGAACTGGGTTAGAGACTTTGGACTACCGAAGTCTATAGTCAGTGACAGGGACGTCAGGTTCACGAGTGAATTGTGGAAGGCCGCTGCAGCTGAACAAGGAACTCAACTGCAGATGACCTCTGGAAATCATCCAGRAGCTAATGGCCAGGCTGAACAAATGAACCGCGCTGTGCAACACCTGTTGAGGCACTACATCAAGCCCAACCAGGTAAGCTGGGACGAAAAGCTTGCTCTAGTCGCCAGTCTCTATAACAACGTTGTACACAGTGCCACCGGGGTGAGTCCTAACAGTCTACAACTGACGTTCAAGCCTAGACTGCCCTTAGACTTCCTACTTCCCGACAACCAGCCAACTGCTACACCGGGCACTTTGGAGTTTGCCTATAGATATGAACAGAAGATGCAGGAGGCTGTAGAAAACATGCAGAAGGCGCAGGCAGCAATGAAGAGTCTGAGAATAGACACCGCCGCCCTTCTACATTTCAGGTTGGGGACAGAGTCTGGGTTAAGTCTTCAGAACTGGGACAGGAGTTCGGGATATCCCGCAAACTCATGCCTCAGTACTTTGGACCTTGGGAAGTTCTAGATGTAGTAGGGACGGATCCTGATGGTCCATCATATGTCATCCGTATCCCTGGTCATCTCAGAACTCACCCTGTCTTTCACGCCTCTATGCTCGCTGCGTCCAAGGAAACTGATCAGTTTCCCTCCCGTCAATCAATGCTGCCCCCAACCATGGACGGAGAAGTCGACATCGATGATATCGTCGACCACAGGGAGATGCCCGTTCAGAAGCCTCCAGGAAGGGGACGTCCTCCAAAGCCAAAGCTACAGTTCCGTGTCCACTTCAGACATCATACAGATCCGAAGGAGGACCGCTGGTTTACTCGGGAGGAATTGATGCAGACCGCTCCTCAAATCGTTGCCCGCTATGAGAGGGATGTATTGAAAGGAAAGCGCCAGATGGCGGCAGATTGATCTTCTCAGAGGACTAACGAAGATATGGAGGGAATGCGAGGCTACGCCCGCTTAGCCCCTACGGGCCCTTATTTGCAGCAAGGTCGGCCGCCCTAAGTGAAGGCAGGCACGACAGGCCCTCAGGGCCTCGTTTTTCAGGGTACCCCGCAACTGGGGAAATTCAGGCAGTTGCGCAGCGCCAGTTGGTTGAATGAACTCAGGCCCTAGGCCGCCTGTGTGAATGAATGTAAAGCAGGCCCTGGGCTGGATACGGGTACCGGGCCAAGCACAGGCCAAAGGCAGTTGGGCACATGCAACCACTTCAGGCCCAAGGCCTGCGTTCTTCGTGACTGGGCCTCAGGCTACCGGGGCCTACTGGAAGCTTCCTGGACTGGACGCAGGCAGGCCACTTCGATATAGGGAAGGGCCTGCCTCCTCATTCGGTATTCGGGAGCTGGCTGCATGCTGCGCAAGCGCTGCTGCTGCGCTATTTGCTGGCTGGCACCTACGCTCTCACGGGCGAGCAGGGAAGGACCACGCAGCCATAGCCAAGCTGCGCTGCTGGTTGCTGGGTGAAGCGCAGGGTGGTCCTTGGGTGCTAGTGGCATCTGTGAGTTGRGGAACGAGGTTGTGAGGGTAGCGCAAGACATACCTGGTGTTGAAGCATGCGACATTGGTCGCCATATGCTCKTACTTCGGGAACGCTGTTGATGTCATCATTCTKCTTCGTAGTATAGGCTAGATAGGATCTGCCACATGTAGTCTGGGCGCCGAGCGCCAATAGGATATCAACTCTGGTTCTTCGCTGATGATGATGGGACTACAGCATTGTCAATGATGAACTCTTGGTGTGTTCTTATTTGGTGTATCTCGT